TACAATTACTCTAAAGTACATAGCATTAGAGGCAGTGCAGCTATTGGGAGATAAGATAATCACTGAGAATACTTAATCAACACTGTTTTACAGCAAGCTGAACAGTTTGGAGAATGTCCTTAAAGGTTTCAGCTGCTTTATCTTCCTCTATCCCTGACTGTGGGTATTCTATCGTACTGGCAAAAGCATATATAATAGAATTGTTAAGTTGGAGGAGCTGCTGGTTCTGGAAGCTTTTTCTTCAAATTCACATTTGAAAGTTGACTTTTATGATGTTTTCAGCGTCCCTCATCAGACCGTACAAACATAAAAAGGATCCAAAAAAGAGCAGCTTTGCATAAGAGAAAGGCAAATGTGTCTTCTTAAAAAGCCAAACAAACAATGGAGCTCTTTCGATTCATGGTCCATGAGTAACAAACATGAAAGAAAACTCCAAGGCACTTTGACTTCTGAGTATAATGAAAAGCTTTTAATTTTTCATGGGTAAAACCAACTTTGATACCGCAGAATGAGTCCAAGATTATTTTTGAGCAGTAGAACCAAAGTATGGCTATTTGAAATTATTCCTCATAAATCATATCTTTTCTGTGCATTGGTGGATGGTTGTTAATACTAGTCAAACAAGAAGAAACCAGTAACAGAAAAAAATCATTATACAGAACAGCTATGCTTAACCCTAAACTTGCCTCTCCTTTTATGAATTTCATGTTATTATTTATTATTGCTGTTATCTATTGGTATCTATTATAAATTTTCATGTTAACAAGCCTCATCTTTTTTAATTTAACAGCAGAGGGAGAGGCCAAGAAATGTTATAAGAACTAAAGCCCTCACTGCCCCGCCTGAGTCTGTCTTTTAAACCATCTCAATTTCTTATGAACTCATTTATTTATTCCGTTGGATTTTAACCAATTATTTTTTTATGAGGGATTTTTTAAGCATTCACAGTGTGCTTTGTGTGCCCCTGCCCTCGTTCAGAGGGATACATTTTAACCCCAATCAAACCATTTGGTTGTTAAATTTATCCAAATTTAACAACCAAATGTTTTGTCATGTTCGTGCAAAGCATAACCTTCAGCTTTCACTCACTGATAGAGTTCTGCTCAGCTCTGATCTTTCTCACTTAAGAGCTGTAGTTCACCCCTCACTTTATTTTATTTTTGGTTTTCTGTTGATGAACCAGTTATTTTTTAAACAATACATTTGTGCCACTGACTCAACTGGGTGATATTCTTACTTATCTAAACCTTGGAAGTGCAGAAAGTCAAAGAGCATGGTCTGTACCAAACCTGGACAAACCTTACGTTGATTTAGGTCTAACACCTTATTTTGCCTCGACTGTGGCTGATCATGATGCTCATGGACATTTGAGAAATAATAAATGTCATACATATACATCACTGCGTTCACCCTTTGTGCCGACTAAATTACTCTCCTTGTTTAAAGCTGACAGTAGTCATCCATACTCCCTGTGCTGTATGAGTCACTAACAGCTGCCTTATGGTTGTGTCTTAGAAAGGTTTATGGATTAGTATTGGCAGAATCCCTTGAGTCCTTGATGAGCACTTTCTCTCCAGCCGACAGCCGGGCACTGATCTACCAAGAGTATAAATAATGAAAAATCCTGCGAGGTCCGTTCCCATTGATTATGGAGGACAAAATATTTTTCCTGAAGCTACTGATTCTTCAGACGCATTGAATGAAAGCTATATTTCTCTCCTCATAATTCAGATTGATGTTAAGTATGGCAGCACTGTGGTTGAAGGTAGGTGAAACATTATTGTCGTTACACAAGGCCTGTTGTCAATGTCATGGATTAAATGAAAGAGCCAATAATAAAGGGGTGTCACCACCCTGGCAATGAATACATTACTGTCAATGGCCTGAATAAAAGGAGGTAGGTTTGTACTGTAACTGAGAGCCACCAACCTTTCTATTGACTCAACTATAAAATGAATATGAGACATAGAGAATAAATCTTTGCTACATAGAGATACTTGCTATGGAAAAAAAACACACAAAGGCAAAATGTGAAGAGTCAAGTAAATCCTGATGCAGAGTCTAAAAGTTCTGCGTGATTTAATCTCTTGCTCTTTGTGATTAGTTTAGCAAAGAGAACAGACTCTGAGGCCGACAGCAGCTTCTGGTGCCATGTTTACAGACTTATTGGACATCTGTCAGAGATGTTATTGAAGCTCCACAGGGAGGTGAAACAGCAGAGACTTTTGTGACATTTTGGCACAATATAATATACAGTATTTACCGGAAGGCAGGTCCTGCATGTTGAAAAAAAAGAAAAAGGAAAAACCTTGTCTGTGCAGCAGCTTTGATTCTGCACAGGGCCAGAGCCAACAAATTGACTAACAAACAGCGAGGCCTGGAGAGGGATGCACACCTAAAGAACATTTAATCTCCCTAAGCCACTGGACGCTGACGTTGGCTCGTCACACACTAAACTGCCTAACACGAGAGATCTCCCCAAACGAATCATCTTAAACTTCAAAATCTTGAGAAAACATCCTTAAAGCTAAGCAGTTCTCTGGCTCATCCCTCTTTATGCAGGAGAGGTGAAGGCTCAGGGGCGTTCAGTTTGTCGGGTTTGGAGCAAAGGAGGGAGGTGGGGGGGCGGTGTGTGCGGCTGTGTTTGGCTTTAACTGTCACCTGACTGCTGGCCTGGCCTCTGGGAACAGGAAGTATGACATCACTGCACTGACATTCAGGAATGTGGGAATGTCAGGCTGCCTGTTAACGCTGCAGGAGTGAAACAGAGACAGAAAGCGAGCAGGGTGGACACAGCAGAGACGTCACTGCAGAGTTATTTTATTATGAGTTATTCCAACTGTGAGGACTAAAAGCCATGTTCAGAGTGACTCAGACCCTGTGTGGAAAAAAGGCTACTTGGCCGTTCTGTTGACATAACTTATCCAGCAAATAACTTAAACCAGGCTTAGCTCTCGAATGATCAGCATTGAACCAGCAAAAGCTCGGATATCCTGACTTTTATTACGTTGTATGCTTCAGGCTCAAAATTTACTAAATTTCCCACGATGCAACTTCATTTTTTATGAAACCCTCCTTGCTCAATAAACTCCCACGTCTTTCTGATTCCGCACCACATCGGAGATTGTCAGACAGGCACTCTGATTCCAAATTTATAATCTACAAACTGAGTTAACCCTGATGGAACCACTGTGACACCATGTGTTGCCCTTTAACCGCATGTCATGAACACTGATGCATAACTTACATTATTAAAGAATGCAGGATGCACACAGCCTCCACGGTGCATACATAAGGCAGAGTTTAATGTACAATATGTAACTTTGGTCTCAAGCACTGTCTCAATTCGGAAGTTGCATTTGTAGACCAATTACGTCACAGTGGCGCGACTAGACTGTCCTAATTCAAGGCTCCTCCAAGAAACAGAGGCTCCAATGGGTGGAGCCTTCACTGCTTAACATATCCCATGATTCATTGCACTTAAGTGATGAACAGTTTTTCAATAAGGTAATGGCAGCAAAAGTCGTGGAGAAAATGTCAGAAGAACGTATTTTTGAATGTAAGTATTAACTGAACAGCTAACGGTCCACATGTTTAAAAAACATCTTTTTTAAACAACCAAAGAACGTTTTCATCCACAGCTCTGTTGCCAGGTGACAGCTGAGGAAGGAACAACAGCTGACTAGCTAATTGACTAACTGGCTAACAGTGTGTTTTTCCTTCGTTGTTTGCTCCCAGGAGTTATAAAGCACATATTTGTATAATTTGTAGACAAAACTCAACAACACACATAACATGTTGGTTTTGGGACATTCCATTAAAGAACTGTTACTCATTATAACTTTAAAAACAAGTACATCATCACTCTTCGAGCACCAGCAGCGGGCAAGAAGAATCACAAGCCACTGAACGCCATATGCCCGACACAGGGAGCCATCGTGAGTCATTTAATAGATACTGACAGTGAACTGCTTGGCAAGGCATGCTCTCGATAACCCGACAACTTTTAGACATACCCAAGTCAAATGCAGAACAAATTAGGCTTTTTCTTTCTGTGGCATGTTCACAATTTCAGCGAGCCACAAGTTCTATAAATGTTGAATCTTTCATATCATCCTGTAATTTGTCACAACTAATTAGTTGCTCAGGAACTTGATGTTAATTGATTGAAGCAGTGGTTTTTGATGTTCAGTTTGCATGTCAGGGCAACAGGCAAATATGATTCCCCCCCGTTTTCCTGTCACTCCAATCAAACTACACACAACTAATCATTACTAATTTCAAGATGTATAGGCTACATGGATGTAGCTTTAAAAGATGTATGAACTAAAGATAAAAAAGTGCCAGGAAACATCATTATGCATATATATGCAGCAACTATTCAACAGTACTTTTTCATGTTCTTACTGAAAGCAACAAGTGAGATATTACAAAGCACGGCGTGAAGCCAGAACAAATCATCCTGAGCCAAAAAGGCCACAGTACCCTGAAAACTTCAAGTTAAATCATTCACAGGTTTAAAGCATCTCATCTTTTTTCACTGACTGCATAACGGTGCCATGGTGTCGCCAGCCCTGATCAGAGATGTTGGCACGCAGCTCCTGGGCCTGAAGGACTGTTTAAGACTCCTTGCCAGATATAGGGGAGAGAGCTGAGAAGGAGCCAGAGTTGGAGGGATTGCAGCCCCAGAGGAGCCCAGCTGCTGCCTGGGAAACAAAACCCGGACAGGCTCTGGCCCACGCTCTCTAACCCCAACCCCTCCCATCTAATAAGAAAACTCAAGTCAGTTCTTTTTTTCTTGGTCAACTGCCTTTTCCACTGTCCCTCTGCTCTTGAGTTTAGGGGAAAATAAGTCAGCAGACTAACAGAGGAATGATCTTAGCCACCCTGCTGCACATTCCCCCAATATTTCCCCTACTGTTGTTTTCAAGCCAGTCGCACATGTTCATGTTCTCACTCTCAAACACATTCATCTCCACGTGCACATGTGTGACACTCACCCCGGTAATGGAGGCTGTCATCGTGGTGGTTGTGCTGGTGGTGGTTCTCCAGAGCAGGGGGGCTGCTGGCACCCAGTTCTGCCAGTCTGCGGCTGGTGGCCGAGAGCTCGGAGCGGAGATTGGTCACTTCCTGACTGGCAGACTGGATGGCCCCATCAATCCTCTGTGCCAGCTGTTTGTTGTCTTCCATCATTTTAAGGATTTTCCCCTGAGGACCAAATCCACACAGAGCAGCATGGTGTCAAGTGGAGCATTAGACGGGGTGAAGCCAAGACCCCTCTCTCCTCCTGTTATCCCCCTCTCCTCTCGTCCTCCTCTTCCTCCTCCACCTGTGCTTCCTCTCCCACAGTTTACTTTGCACATATACAGAGAAGAATAAGCCAAGACGCTGGTCCCTCTCCTGTCCTCCGCTGAGCAGCACAAAGATGATGTCTACCTGTTACTGTCTAAAGAACATCTGTGTGGCCGAGCACCACACACTCAGTGGAAGCATGTGTCAGTGTGTGTGTGCAGGGCAAAGGAGAGAAAGAGGAGAAAAAGAGGAAGAGCAAATGCAGAGAGCAGAGTGAGAGAGAGGAAAAAAGGACAGAGGAGGAAAAGAGATGCAGCTCAGCAGGCGGAGGGGAAAGTGAGTGCTCCCGCCGAGGAGAATGTGCTGTGAGCAGCTGCTCTCAGAGAGGACCCAGCACACACTGAGATGACATGCAGCCTTTTAAATGGACTGTACCATGTGCTGGAGGACCAGGGGAGAGGTGGAGGGGGGGACGCAGTTGGACTGAGCTGCTCTCCAGCAACTCTGTAACTAAAGCTGTGTATCCCACACACTATAGAGTCTGTAATGAGTTAGAACCCGGGTCTGTAATCGGAGGAAAGTACAGATTGTTTCTTTCTACTTCTTCTTTCCTCCGTGTCCCTGCTCTCTGAGCTCGGCAACAACCCCTCTGACAAGCACTTGTCAAACCCTCTGTATCTTTTCTCTCCCGCTCCCACTCTCCCTTCCTCCCTCTCACTCACACACCCGCTGTCTTTTTGTCTCTCCCACCCCCCCACCTCTTTTTTTTTTTCATTCCATTATATATATTCATCTCTTTGTCCTGGGAAAGCTCACCCCCACATCAGTGGAAGGGGAAGGGGGGGCTGGCTCAAGGCGCCCAAGGGGAAAACATTTCAACTCAGAGAGCAAACTTAGCAGAGGACAGAGGCGCAGAGCTCTAATAGGCTAAACACAAAGAGGAGAGGCCCGGAGAATTACAATTGAGCTGTGGCGAGAACACAGAGCTTTGCAACAGTTGGACGAGAGGCCAGGCAAACAATCAACACTGCCGTTAATTCTTATCTGCGCAGCTGTAAAATGCCATTATACAAAAGGTTAGAGACTGGGGAGTTGGCGTTCATCCCTTCATCCAATCTTAAAACGATAGTGCTGAGCCATCACAACATTGAATCTGCATTTGACATTTCATTTCCCAAGTAAGAAAACACATCCTGTCTCTGGCAAGAAACTGAGGTATGTGAGTGATACATCACTCAGATTCTGTCATCACCAACCTGGTGATAACAGCTCATTGGTATTCACACAATGACAGATAGAGACAAACAAGGATGGCACAGCAAGCTCACAAGACTGACGAATTTGGTGGTTGTACCAGTAGTTTGCTCACAACATCCTGTCTTTGTGGCAGCTACAGATAATCTGTGACAATCAGAGAGATCCATGAGTGTGGCCTCAACTGGGCAACTTCAGCTCCTCCACTCTGTTCAGTCAGGGCTGAAGAATTTGACAATATAAACAATACGAAAAACAATCTTTTATTTTGATTTGTATCGTCATACATCAGGACCTAAAAACACACTGAGCTGGTGACTATAAATGCTTTCTCAAATTTCATCAGAATCAGAATCAGAATATTTACTTCATTTATTGCTGGAGGTTCAAAATAAAATATTCTGTCTACAACAAAGATATATGGTTTTGTTAAAGAAGACATATTTTGCTTTTTTAGTTTTTCTTTCCTCCGTTGTGTTGTTTTTTTGTGAATGTAAAAGTTCTACAAAGTTAAAAAGCCCAACGTTCTTCGTAGAGGGAGCGCCGTAAGCGTGGACTATTTAAGAGAGAGATGGCAGGGTTTTACTGGGGAAAGCAGAACAGAATCTAACCATGAAATGAAGAAATAACACTGTCAAAATTAAAGACCGCAGTTTTGAATTAAGACAGGAAAGAAACTCCACACAGAACAAAACCAGCAATTAATTTGAAGATTGTCATATTGTCTCCTAGGGAACAAGTGATGGCAATTTTTCACATCACTTTTCACATCATTTGCGGTTGTTAATTTGCTCACAGTGGTGACGCTTGCTGTTGTTTAGCAGGTATAATGTTTACCATGCTCTGCAAACTTATCTCAGCATCTAACGTTTGTGAATGAGCACTAAACATAGAAGTGCAGGTGAAATTAATGGGAATGTGGTGAGCTTTGCATTTGGTCAAAAACCTAAATATTGGACAAATGAAATGAATTCGAGGGATTCAGTAAATAAAGGTTAATGAAATCTTGATTTGCTGATGACTCTACATGTAATGTTATGTTGGACTCGCACATATGCAGTGACGCAATCACACAATGACAACAATCACAGTTTCATGCTTAGGACACACACCATTGCCAACTTTCACTACTAATGTGCAATAAGCAATGTTAATGAGACATAAAATCCACAACCAGAAGAAGACCTAGAAAGTATGTAACAAATAAATCCATCCAACCATTTTTGACACCAGAGTGGTCGACTGACTAATATTATGACCTTGGCTTAGTTAAAAATAATGAGTTATTTCATACTGTGGATCATCATCACTGATTCCTGTCGTCTGTCTCTTTCTAAAACCAGACTTATCTCATACAATCATACTGTCATCGCCTCTGCTGTCCACCTCACTACCCATGATCCACAAACAGGACAATCATTAGGCTACAGTTACTCGAAAATATGAAAACAAGCAGTGGCAGGTTTGATCACATGACATGTTAGCAGATCATTATCATTGTCTAGACAGTCACAACACTGTCCCCGATTAGGGCACTGGCCCTGATTTGTAGCTGATGAGCAGAGCACAAATGTAGCACATAGCCTGTGACACACGGAAAAGAGATAAAGGTTGTCTCCACTTCTTACTCTACACAAAGGAGGCTTCTAATATTCCACTGCAAAGAATTTTTTTTAAAACAATGCACCAAGTCTTTCTTCAGATGAAACCAAAACCACAGTCACTTCTGTGCTATAGGAGTCAGGCTTCCATACGTTCAACTATGGAATGTGAGGTAATTAATGATTTTAGGGTCAGGGGCCAGGACGTGTCCCAGATACACATCAATAAGCAGACAGATACTGTGAGGATGCATAATTATGGCATGCCCCAAACACACAAAGTCCTCCTCTGTCCACACAACTGGAATGAAAGCATGTGCGGCCATGACAGAGACCTCAAGACTAACACAGGGATATCAGTACTTAACTTTAGAGGGTTGACTCCTTTAAATAACCAGTTGTCCCTCCAGCACTTATATGGATTTGACTCACTTCAAACTTAGCATGTTTGTGTTGTTAGTTTGTTCACTTGTTTGATGCTATTAATGAGAAGTTTAATCAAGTGTGCCGAGGGTGTGCAGTTAAAAAGAGGTATTGATAAACAGTCACCATGACTGTCTGCCTGGGTTAATTGAATATCGACTAATCCTGTGCACACTAGAACGGTTTCCATTTTTCCCCAATGTTACAGTGATATAATGCCCTGCTCAACTATTTATACAGGTCTTATCAGGGTCGTTGGGAAAATATCCACACTCGACTAGCTAATGTCCATCAATTACTCTGAGGAAAAAGATGTAGTGCCTGTCATGGTGTCGGAGAATGGGAGAGTTTTAATGGAAGGAAATGGGGAAAGTGCAAAATTAAAAACAAGGCTCAACAGATGAAAAAAATGAGGGTATGCTCTGAGGAATGTTATTTAAGCTGAATTATGTGATTATTACTCCATGCTTGGGTACACATATATGAGCCCTGAAGAATTCCATAACCATATTTCATAGTCATTTTCATCTGGGTTATGATGTGAGAGCAGGAGGATCCATCAGGGGTGAGCAAACACTTGACTATCAGACCTTCGCACTGGTCAAGGACTCTTCCCACGTCGCTCCGTGGGGTCACACAGCGCATGATTCAATCTCTCAAATGCAACAGCGGTCATTTGGTGCTTTGTTGAAATAGAGACATGCTGTGCAAGCAGGCTGCAGAAAATCCCAGGAATGAGAAGATACTGCAGGGGGGTTAATCGTCTAAATTGTACCTGAGCCCAGGAAATGAAGCAAAGGTGCATGAGGACAACAACGTTGCCACATGGTACTGATATCACAATGTCAAAACCTTACTCCAAAATAAACACATGATTTCCTCCAAGCTAAAAGAGCTTAAGTCAGATGGTGCACATTTATATTGAAAATCTAGATGACCTGTTTGAAAATTAAATTCAACCAGTAAAATTAATTAAGTTAATTCAATTAATGTAATAAGGTAAATTAAATCATTAAACTTTATTTATTTGATTTTATTAAATTAAATTAAACAATTGGATTGAATTTAATTAATATATCCAATTTGATTTATAAAATATCATTTACTTAACTAAATTAATTTAATTTACATTAGAAGCAATTTTTTTTCCTGGGATTGATATTTTTTAACTGGTGTCCATTCAAGCTTTGACATTATGCACAGAATTTAACGCTGTGATATAACTCTGTGATATAACTCTGTGATATAGCAGTTTATATTTGTTCAGGTTGTACTTCATGTACACATCTAATCGAATCAGGATGTGTTCTTTGAGTAGTAGTAGAGGTAGAACAACCTCCTCCTATTCAAACTGCATTTAAAATCAGGAGAGATGGGAAACCTGAAATATTTGGGTTCAATGCATGGCCAGGACTTAACAGACCTCATTGCTTATCTGACATTAAGAGTGACAAGAATTCCTCACTTGGAGAAACCCCTTCAAAAGACAGAGGGCTTTATAAAAACATGCTGATAACATGGTTTGTGTTTATATATTTCAGGCAAGCACTTTAGGAAGCATCCCTCCGCCTCCATACAGACCTGCTGTGAATCAAAACATTCACAGACTGTAGGTCTGAATTTCTAAATATCTGAATG